TTCCTTAGTGTGAAAGATTGTGGAGAAAAATTAAAGAGTTGGACGAACGGAGAGATAGGCCATACTCATGAATTGGAAGACAATGTTGTTAAAATGTTGGTTTTCCTTAGATTGATCTATGGAGTCAACAAAATCTCATTCACAATTCCAACAGAGTTTTTAGTGTTGTTGTTGTTAGAAATTGATAAGATAGTTTTACTTCATATAAAAATGTAAATGATGTAAAATAGTCAAAATGATTTTAGATAAGAATGAAGTTGGAAAAGTTTTACTACCTAATTTTAAGACACAAAGCTATAGAAATCTAATAAGTGAGTTATTGAGTAAAGACAGCTCAGTTATACAGAGGTATAGATAGATAGATAGATAGATAGCCACCTGCTTTTTTGGGGGTGGGGGAGGATACCGGGACTCAAACTCAGGGTCTTGCCTTGACTTTGTTCTCTAGAGTTGCCTTTGCTATTCTAGGTCTGTTCTGGTTCCAAATGAATTGTAGGATTGTTTTTTTTTTTTTTTTTTTTTTTTGGTTTTTCTCCGGTACCGGGAACCGAACTCATGACCTTGCGCTTGCCAGGCAGGCGCTTTGCCGTTGAGCTAAATCCCCAGCCCCTGTAGGATTGTTTTTTTTGTTTTTTTTTTGTTTGTTTGTTTTTTGGTTCTTCTCCGGTGCCGGGAACCGAACTCACGACCTTGCGCTTGCCAGGCAGGCGCTTTTTGCCGCTGAGCTAAATCCCCAGCCCCTAGGATTGTTTTCTCTAACTCTGTGAGATGTGCTGTTGGAATTTTGATCAGAATTGCATTAAATCTGTGTAACAGTTTTGGAAGTATGGCCATTTTCACTCTATTGGCTCTTTCTACCCAAAAATAAGGGAAATCTTCCCATTTTCTGATATCCGCTTCAACATCCTTTTTCAGAGTACTGTAGTTTTCAATGTAGAGGTCTTTTACGTCCTTTGTTATATTGATTCCTAAGTATTTCATTTTTTTGGATGCTATTGTGAAAGGTGTTGTTTCCCAATTTCTCTTTCAATGAGTTTGTTATTTGTGTACAGGATGGTATTGATTTTTGAGTGTTGACTTTGTATCCAGCTATGCTATTGAATTTGCTTATTCAATCTAGCAAGTTTTTTAGTGGAGTTTTTGGGGTCCTCTATGTAGAGGATCATGTCAGCTGCCAATACTGTTAATTTAACTTCTTCCTTTCCTTTCATTATTCCTTTCTCTTGTCTAAGCACTCTGGCTAGAGTTTCCAGGACTGTGTTGAACGAGAATGGAGACAGTGGACATCTTTGTCTTGTTCCTGATTTTAGAGAGAAAGCTTTCAATTTTTGTCCGTTTTGTATGATGTTGGCTGTTGGTTTGTCACAGCTGGCTTTTATTAGATTGAGATAAAGACTATCTATTCCAGTTTTCTATAGGGCTTTTTATCATACATGGATGCTGGACTTTGTCACAAGATATTTCTGCATCTATTGAGATGATCATATGAGTTTTGTCCTTGGCTCTGCTAATTTGGTGTACTACATTTATTGATTTATGTCTGTTGAACCATCCCTGCATCCTTGGGGTGAATCCCACTTGGTCATAGTGTCTAATCTTCTTGATGATTTGCTGCATTCTGTTTGCCAATATCTTATAGAGGATTTTTGCATCTATGTTCATTAGGGAGATTGGCCTGTACTTCTCTTTATTTGTTGGGTCCTTTTCCAGTTTTGGTATCAGCGTAATCCTTGCTTCCAGGAATGAATTTGGGAGTATTGCCTCCCTTTTCAACTTCATTAAAGAGTTTGAGAAACAGTGGTGTTAGGTCTTCTCTAAATTTCTTGGAAAATTCAGCAGTGAATTTGTCAAGACCTGAGCTTTTCTTTGTTGGTAGGTTTTTAATTACATCTGTGATTTCATTGATTGATGATGGTTTATTTAGGATTTTTATATCTCCTTGATTCAGCTTTTGTAATTCATATGTATCTAGGAATCTGTCCATGTCTTTTGCATTTTCCATCTTATTAGACTGTAAGTTTTAAAAGGAGTATAGATGATCTTCTGTATTTCTGTTGGGTTCATTGTGATATCACTGTTTTCATTCCTAATTGTGTGGATTTGAGTCTTTTCTTTCTTTTTTTTTTGATAAGGTTGGATAAGGGTTTGTCGATTTTATTTAGTCTTGCAAAGAACCAACTCTTTGATTCATTGATTCTTTGTATTGTTTTCTTAGTCTACAGTGCATTAATTTCTACTTTGATCTTTATAATTCCCCCCCTTGTATGACCTTTTGGCTTAGCCTACTCTTCTTTTTCTAGAAATTTGAGGTTTACTGTTAAGTTGTTTATCTGTACTTGTTCTGTTTTCCTGATATGGGTATTCACAGCTATAAATTTCCCTTTTAGGACTGCTTTCATTATGTCCCATAAGTTCTAGTATGTTGTATTGTCATTGTCATTTAATTGTTGAAACTGTCTAATTTCTTCTTTAATTTCATCTGTGACCCATTGGTTATTTAGGAGGGTTCTATTTAATTTCATGTGTTTATGAAGTTCCTATGTCTGATAATATGCATTGGATAATTTGAATTCCTTTGCATTTACTTAAGCATGTTCTGTGAGCTAGTATGTGATCTATTTTGGAGAACGTCCCATGTGCAGCTGAGAAGAATGTGTATTCTGATGTTGTAGGGTGGAACACTGTGTACATCTGCTAAGTCTGTTCAAAAGTTTGGTTAATTTCTAATATTTCATTGTTGAATTTTTGTCCAGTTGATCTGTCTTTTTGTGATAGTATTGAAATCCCCCAATAGAATTTATTAGTGCTTATTTGATATTTCATGTCTGCTAATATTTGTTTTATATAATTGAGTGCACTGGTATTTATTGCATATGTGTTTATGATTGTTATCTCTTCTTGGATTTTTCCCTTGACAAGGATATAATGATGTTCTTTGACTTTCTTAATCACTGTTAGCTTTAAATTTACTTTGTCTGCAAATGGAATAGCCTCCTCTGCTTTTTTCTCATTTTTCATTACATGGAATATTGTTTTCCATCCTTTGACTTTTGGTCTATGAATTTCTTTTTGAATTAAATGTGTTTCTTGTATGCATCATATTGTTGGATCTTGCTTCTTGATCCATTCTGCCAGTATGTGTCTTTTGATTGGTAAATTGAGACCATTAACATTGATGGCTACAACTGATATGTATTGACTTATCCTTGTCATTTTTTTTCTGTTGTTGGCTCCTCCCTTTTTTCCCCTTCATTTAATTGTTTGCCTTGCCTGGTAGATTCCTTCTGTTGGGGTTCATGGAGTTGTAGTCCTTGTTATCTCTCTCTAGAACATCCTTCAAAACATTGTGGAGTACTGGTTTGGTGTTCATAAATTTTCTCATGTGGTCTTTGTCATGGAAGTATCTTATTCTTCATCAGTTTTGAAAGATAGTTTTGTGGGGGTACATCAATCTGGGTTGAAGGTTTTATTTTCCTTTAGGACTTGAAATACTTCACTCCGAGCTCTCCTTGACTTGTGCTGAGAAGTCAGTTGTGATGCTGATGTGCTTTTCTTTATAGGTGATTTTCTTTTTCTTGACAGCTTTTAATATTCTGTTCTTGTGTTGAATTTCTGGAATCTTGACTATGATATCCCTTGCAATAGACTTTTTCAGATTGTGGCTAATTGGAGTTTTATATACCTCACTTAACTGTATGTCAAATTCTTTTTCACTACCAGAGAAGTTTTCTGCCATGACATCTGTGAACAGTTTTTTTTACATATCATTTGTGCTATCTCCTGCTTTTTCATTGACTCACATCAGATCTTAAGTTTTTTTTTGTTTGCCTCATCTAGCAGCTGCTGTATTGGTTTCTCATAGTCCCTTGCTTTTTTTTTTCTTGCTTTTTTAAAGGAATCTTTCTTTTTATGATCACTAATCACAAGCCTGTCTTCTATATCTGAGATCCTGTCCTCACACTAGCATATTCTGCACGGATGCTTTCAATATTTTCCTGGATATCTACTTAAATCTGCCTTATGGATTCCATTTCTTTCCTATGTTTCCCATTCATGGCTTCCATAATTTTCTTAAGCTCCTCTATTTTTTTTTTTTTTTTTGTCTTTATTTGCTCTAGAGTCACTAAGCCTCATTTTCATTGTGGCCACCATCTCGGTAGTTATCTGAGAAATTATTTCTGATTTGATTTTTTTCTGAAGCCTCATTGAATTGCTTTGTTGTTACCCCTTCAGAGAGACCAGGTGGCTGGCTTTTGGATTGTCCCACCTCATTTCCCCCTATGTTTGCTTGGTGAACTGGATGTCTGGGGTTGCATTTTAAGTATCTTCTCATTTTATTTATTTATTAGTTTAGTTTAATTCCTAGCATGGTGCTTGTAAATTGCCTATGGTGAGTTGCTTTATTGCTAGTGTATAGAACCTTTAGGAAATGATTACTTCTCCAAGGTATCTTCTTTTGTGTTTGAGTCTGTTGCAAGATCCTATGCAGGTTTGAGATGTTCCTCTCACATAGTGAGTGCCATTTCAGGGAGAAGGGGCCGCCAGGTACCTCCTTCCTTTTCACTGAAGTTTCTTTCTTCACTCTCTCCATGGTCTTTAGTTCATGCTTTAGATTCTTCCTGGGTCCAGGGGGCCCACTTCCCTCCTTCTCTTCTTCTCATGTTGGTATATTTCAGCATCTGGATGGCAGTTCTCTTTGAGAATTCTCTTCTCTTCTCAAAGAGGCTCTTTGCTGCTTGCCACTCCACCATCTTGGTGCCTCTGACCCATTAATTCTTGTTGTCTGTATCTTGGTCACTTTCCTAGTTGCAGGGACAAAATGCCTGACCCCTGAAGCTTCAAGGGAGGTTTGTTTTAGCTCACAGGTTGGGAGCTTCAGTCCTGTAGGTTGGCTCCTTGGGGAAGGGCCTGATGGAGGAGAGCTGTATGAGGCATGGTGTAGGGATTCATCTTGAACTGCCATTTATTAACTCTCTTGTGTGGTGTTTGTTTTTCCGCAGAGTAATTCAGAGTCCCAGGTGCAGAAGGCTTGTCCCGCTACCACCATGAGCTCCAGTAAGTCATTTTAAATCCTTCCTTTCTTGGCAAAACTATAAAACCACCTGTTTATGAAGGTTTTCCACATACTCTAAGGCCCCTGGCAGCATTTTAATTTTTTATTTTTTGCATCCTGGGTGAATGCTAAAGGACTTTGTCCTAAGTCAGCATTACCTTCTATATTGTTAGTGATTTTTTTTGAGTGCTTTGCCTTTTGGTTTTTGTTATTTAAAATAGGCTGGGGCCTTTTAATTAATTAATTAATTGATTGATTTATTAACTTTTGCCCTACTAAAGTTTCTTGCTCTACCAATATCAGGATTAGGCTAAGATATTATTGCTCCTTAATTATAAATGTGGGAGAAGGAGGAAGTGTGGGCCTAGAAGGAGAATGAGGGTGTGGCAATGCCCAGGGAGCTTCCCAGGTCTCTCTTAGAAGGAGGTGTTGCTTAGGAGGAGTCCACAACCCTGACTCCATTGACCTCCATCTTGGGAATTTCTAGGTTTATTTGAAGGAAACCAAAACTTCACCCCATGTAGGTGTGTAATGAGTATGTACACTGTATTTACTTGGTAGAATATTATGCCAATATTAAAAGTGACCATTGAGCAGACAGGAACTATGTGGAAAACCATTGCTTGTATCGTTTATGGAAACTGTAGCATGCAAATGATGTGTTCCTTTTAATTTCAGTTTTTGATGAGGTTGGCAGTCACTGAGGGAAATGCTTTACTTGCATGATCTTGTTTCATTCTCCTGGAAACCCCCAAGGGTGGGTTTGGTTTACTGCCTCCAGTATACAGATGGGGCAACTGAACCTGTCTGGGTCACTGAACTCGTGTGTACTGTAGAATGGTGGCAGGCACAGGCTGCTGAACACTGACATACCTCGGCAGAGGCTTAAGTTTGTGATGTTGGGTTTGTTGATTTTAAAGCACTTTTTAAAAATTTCTTTCAGTTATAGTAAATAAAAGGAGAAAAAGATAAAAGGAAGAACATGGGCGTCAGGTGGAGGTAGAACTCAGGGATACCCAAGCCAGGGTGAACAGTGCCAAAATGATGTGATTAAGGGGAACGAAGGAAGGCACAGGGAACAAGTGGTGGGTGGTGGAACTTACCTTTCTTGGTTTTAGAGTTCGAGCCTCTCCACTAACACTGACCTTTCACCCATCCCAGATATGAGGGCTTGGGTGGGATTTGACAACCAGGAGAATGAGGCTTCCTCTGAAGGTGGATGCAGGTGATGCATGGGCCACAGCCAGGGACTGGGTAGGGACGGGTGGTAGCCCTGCCCAGGGGTGGCACAGGCAGCAGCCAGCTGGCCTGATGTGGTTTGTGTCAGGCATTTAGCCTTGTGGATGGCTTATTGTGAAGAGCCTCAGTAGGGTGGCTGAATCTCAGCCTGATGTGCTGTTGGGGTTTGAGACTGGCTGCAGGCTCAGCGTCTAGGTAAATAGAACACAGAACAACCCAGGAAACTAAAATGTTTATTCCAGTTGTGGAGAAGAAGATGAGCATTGAGCTGGGTGGGGGTAGTTCACATCCCAAGGTAGTGACCTGGGGTAGGCCTGGCCCCCTTTTTGAGCGTCAGTTTTCTTTTCTCTAGAATAGTATTTTCTAACTTCTCCAGCCAGACAAAATGAGATGCTGACTACAGAATGTTGAACCTGGATCCTCAGGTACAGACAAATAGATGTCTAAAATTCAGTAGTTATAATTATCATGATTATGATCATTATCTACTGTTACAGGTTCCTCCAAGCACACCGGCCATGCGTCCCAGGGTGACAGGGTCTGCATGCCCACTTGTTTCCCCTGGCCTCCCTCCGTTTATTTTGGGGCAGGGCAGGCCTGTGTTGTCTGCAGCTGAGCAAAACTCAGGGAACTGCAACTGATACAAAGGAGATGAACTTTAAAGTGAGCCACAGGATGCATAGGATTTCCCCAGAGTTAGAAAACAGGGGAGGGTATTCCTGGCCCAAGGCCTGAAAGTCTCTGATATACTCAGAAGACAGGGAAGTGGAGCTGCAAAGGGCTCAAGCTGATGGACAGAGCCTTGACTCCAGAGTGAGTTGGTCAGGCTCTGTCCCCTGGTGGTGGCCCTTGGGGCTTGTGGGTGAGTTGGTTTATTTTTGATGATCAAGAATATCAATTATTAATTTAAATGTAACCATATGTCAAGAAGCAGGTCATCTTACTCACAAAAAATTATATTCCAAACAATCATCTCTATATTTTTGGGGACTTGGAATACATTTTTTCCTTGGAAACAATATTCTACAATATTGAATTTTCAGACTAAATCCTTCAGTTTTAATTTTCTTTTTTTTTTTTTTTTTTTTGGTTTTTCTCTGGTACCGGGAACCGAACTCACGACCTTGCGCTTGCCAGGCAGGCGCTTTTGCCGCTGAGCTAAATCCCCAGCCCCTTAATTTTCAAATACAAGGTGAAATACAGTATATATAAAGGAAGAGGGCTCAGAGAATCATGCTGCAGAGACCCATTTTGTTTCCACCCATTCTGCTTCCTGTGGCTCTAATGCAGGGAGCGTGGTAGTTAGGTGAGGGTCTACAAGATTCTCTCAGGGTACAGGTGAGGGTTAGGGTAGAGAAAGGACCAAAAAGAGGCAGGAGGAGTGGTCAGGAAGCCATGTGGGACAACGGCATAAGGACCAGAACTGAGGTGGTGAGGAGGAGCAACATCTAAGGACACTTTATGGAGAGGACAAATGACTTTGACATGGGTGATATGGACAGGATAAGAAAAAGTGTCAGCGAAACCTGAGCTTTCTGCCCAAGCTGTCTGACCCGTCTGACTCTGAATGCAGAGGGGTGTACCTGAGCTGACCTTTGAGTGGGCAGCCAGGAGATGCCATTATGAAGAACTTAGGGAGATTATTTTAAGTGTCAGCAAGACAATGGGGCAAGAAAATTTATATCAATCCACATACGCTTCCCATCCCCAAATAGCTTTCATATGGCATTCACAGTACCCTTCCACGATACCTGAGGGAGTCCTTACAGGCCTGGGAAAGCTGGTGGGATGTATGTGTGTGGGATGCTAATGGTGGAAGAGCCACTCCAGGGACTATAAGGGCAGGATGCCTTCATCCCTTGACTCTGTCTCCAGTACCTCACGCCACACAGCACTCCGTGGAGACTGGGGAGGGATCTTAACAAGATTTGTGCATTTTATTATTCTTTCAGAATGTGATGTTGGTACTTCTAGAGCTGTGATGAATGGCTTGGCACCTGGCAGCAATGGGCAAGACAAAGGTAAGGCTCTTTAAGAGAAACCTGGCTTGGTCCTGAAAAATACTTCCAGAAGGTGCAGAGTATGCTGGGCTGGGACCACCCCCGCTGCCTGAGGAAAGCATCATTCCCCTAATCAGGCCGTGAACTGGACACCTAGTCCCAACTATGACTCGGAGGCCTGAGAATGTTCTTGGTTCTCATAGGTGTGAGACTGCTTTTTCCTCAGTGGGAGCTGATGTACTGGAAAGCTGTCCCTCGCTCACAAGGCTGCTGTGAATAATGGAGCAACTACCTGGTCTGAGGCATCTGTCACGCCTGGCACAAGTGGCATTCATCAGCCTGAAGTCCCTCTTATCTGCCACTTCACCTGCTCTTGTAATAAATAGGGACGCAGTCACAGCCCTCTGAGGCAAGAGCCTAAATCATTAAAAGAAATTATTTCTGAGACATCAGCTCTATGCACATTCTCTCATATTTTCAGGATTTATTGTTATTTGGGTGTGCAGAGATTAATCCTAGGGCCTCATGCATGCTGGGCAAGTGTTCTCCCACTAAACTATAGCCCTCGTCCTCTTATTTTCAGTTTTAAAGACTTTTATGGCAATTTTAAATGTAAAACAACTGATGGATAAGATGACTTTTGAGGCCAAGTGTGTCCCTGCTCCACTCACTGTAGCTGCCCATGCAGGCTGGCAGCAGGGCTCCCAGTACCACTTTTGCAGTATGGATGACCTGGCACCTGAGTTAGAGTAAGGAGATATAGCTCCAGTCCTGGTTCTGCACCTCACAAACAGAGATGTTTTGGGAGGCCTTTTATCCTTGAGCATGTGAGTTCTTCATACCTACAGAATGGGAGTGTTTGACGTTCTCAGTGTGTATTCCTACTTCCCGTCCTGGGCACCAGGGAATCTGTGACTGCTTACCCAGCTGCAGCTTATGGTATCAAAGAAGAGCAGAAATCCTGGCTTGGGGCATTTAAACAAAAATGCAGTATCTTTTCAAGAATAGTTGCAGAGAGTTCAATGTGTTTGGCCTTTGTAATTCCCGTCTGATGTAGCCAAACATTCCTTTCAAGATAAGGAAAAGTATGAATTCAGAAGGAAGCAGCTGAGGAGAGAAGGTACAGAGAGCAGAAGGAGATATGGGTATGGGGCTGGGTGACTTGGGGGTGAGCTCCTTGGGGATAGGAGGTGTCCTACTGCTCCCATTCCCCCTGCCTCCCTGCCTGGCCACCTTTCTTCTCTCATGATGAGAAACATGTCTGCTTTGTTGGGTCTTGGACACTCTTGGCTGAGTTTCACTTGGGGGGGTATCCTGGGGCAGCACCTACAGAAAGGCTGCAGAGGTGTGTTTTGGCATCCGCTGAAGGGCATGGAGAGGAGTGGGGTTCCGTTTGCTTAAGAAACGTACAGTGTGATCAGCTCTGCCCCAGTGCATTCTTGTATACCAGAGGCTTAAGAAAGTTGGAGGAGGGTGGCAGGTGGAAGTGGAGTCTGCTCTCTCCTTAGTTAGATGTTTGACTGGAAATGAGGCAGGTGTAACCTGAACATCATGAGGTGGCCTGTGAAGGTCACTGAGCCACGAGCCAAGGTAGCTGAGCTGTCTCAGCCTCTCAATTTAAAAACTGAATGACGTCGAGCAGTTGGCCATGCCTTTTGCTTCTTCCTATGAAAACAATAAGAAAAATCTATTCAGCTCATTGCTCTGGTGATTACAAAGTGCAGTCCATATGATCACTGTGAAAGTTTGTTGGTATCTTAATATGCAGAATCATCATTATCAATATCATTAATCATTAGGTTTATTCATCATCATCATCATCATCATTATAGTGATTGACAACCATATACAATGTGACCGGCATATGACTTATGAAGCAGCATTGTGATTGGCTGGAAAATATATTGTGCACTGCTGAGGAGCCTCCTGCCTCCCCTGTATCCCCTTAACAATATCACCAGTGTGATGCTGATTTAGCAGTGATGGTATTTTTCCCAAATAGTCTTACCCCCTTGCTATTCTGTGGCTGTGGGGCTCTGAGACCTATGGGCACACTCGGAGTGACTGGCACAGTTGGACAAGAGCTGCCATCTTTATTTGGTGCCTTTTAAGAGAAAGACAAAAGAGGCTTTGCCAGAGGCTTGGTTTGTGCTAGCTATTGAGACTAGAGGCTGGACAGGCAGGGATCCCAGGGGTCCTGCAGTAGATAAGCACAAACATGTTGGACTTGAGTAGAATGGCCTTCCTTGCATCCCAGGCAGTGATCCTGCTTTGTGTTAGCTCAGCTGGATGTCAGTATCCAGACTAGGGTACTGCCTAGAGTCTTATGTTTGCCCTTGGACACTTGGCACCTCTTTCTCTGGAAATGGTGGGTTTAAGTAAGACCATCTGTTCCCCAACAGATGGAGGTTTTGACTTGCTTGGGACCAGCGGGCTATGATTGTCAGAGTGGGCCTTGGGACCCCAGAAGTTGTGATTTAGGGGAAGCAGCTGTGACGGTTGAAGGGACCGGGCAACTCATGAACTTGTTCCTTTTCTTCTTCCACTCATCTGGGGCCTTTGGGCCATAGCCCTCTCTCAGAGGCCTTGCTGCAGGGCAAGTGATTCAGCATTCTCCCAGGGGCCCCTGATTGCACTCCCCTTCCTCTATCTGCCAGACCATCTGTGTCTCTGTACATCTCTTTGTTCAAAGCATTGGCAAGCTCCTGGTGTGGCAGGAGGCACTGACAAACACTGACCAACTGTGTTTGGGTGATGGTTGGAGGAAGGTTTCTCATGTCTTGGCCCAGAACTCTAAAGAGAGAAAGCAAGTTATTTTAATTACTACCTCTATTGCTCTTTGTGTTGTTCTGTTTAAGTAGGCAGCTCCTCCTATTGTCCCTGCTTGGTTCCTCAGTGGCATGAATGTTTCCCAAATGTTCTTTCTGGATGCACCATTTACCTTTTTGTGTTTTCAGCAACTGCCAACCCTTTACGTGCACGCTCTATTTCTGCTGTTAAAATAATTCCTGTGAAGACAGTGAAAAATGCTTCAGGCCTGGTCCTCCCTCCAGGTATCTTGTCTTGTGTTGTTTTTTTGTTTTTCTTTTTATTGCTAGATCATGCATGGTTTCCTTTCTTCTTTCCTTCTAACATACTGTGAGGTTTAATCCTTGCATGATTGGGAGGTGTTCTCTCTTCTCAGCTTGTTTCCTTTCTTCCTCTGTGTGTGTGTATGAATGTGCGTGTGTGTTTCTGGGAGCCAGTGAGCAGGTGGTGGCCTTGTGTCCTTCTTGAGGCAGAGGATCAGTCCAGAGGCTGAATGTTCTCTCTGGCATAGGCCTGTGTGGACTTTGCAGGCTCTCTACAAGTTTGCACTTCCCAATACTTTAGTGAAAACTCAAGTTTCCCCAGAAATCAATGTGACCTCACAGGGAACCTTTGAATTGGGCAGACTTCATAGCCTTAGTAGAAACCCTGAATTGTCAGCTCCCAGGACATCCCAACCCTATTTTACCTGTTTCACTTTCTACCTCTCATGGCAGGTGCAGGGATGCAATTCAGATATCAGCTCTGGCTCAGAGCTTTTGCTATGCAAAGTGGTACAGATGAGGCTTAGACTGCACTTTATCCCATGACATTTGAAGAAGTTGGTAAATCTGGTTGTATGTCCAGGAATCTATGAATGGGCTGTGGATTTGCTGCTTTGCCCTTGTCTTGGTCAGGGTTTACTAGAGGAACAGATATAATACAAGATAAACAAATGTACAAGGAATTACAAGTTTGGCTTACAATGGTCAGCTAC